AACTGTGGAGACACCGCAGCGTCAGCCCCACCCCCTCCAGCTAGCAGGATTAGTAGCTGCAGCAGCAGCAATCCCTGCGGCCTTTTGCAGCAAGAACTGTAACGACCTTAGCTGCAGCAGCAACAGCTGCAGCAGCAACTTCCCGAGAAGAAGAAATATTTCTGATGCAGCAGCCTCAACACAGACGAGCTGTCTGTACACCTGAATTGCACTGGGCCACGGTAACTCTGTGAATGCCCCTTTAAGCATAGATGTACAGCAGCAGCAGTAGCAGCAGCAGCAGTAGCAGCAGCAGCAGTAGCAGCAGCAGCAGTAGCAGCAGTAGCAGCAGCAACAGTAGCAGCAGCAGCAGTAGCAGCAGCAGCAGTAGCAGCAGTAGCAGCAGCAACAGTAGCAACAGATTCAGTCATTAGATGTACAGAGAAAAACAAAAAGGAGTCCAGCGGCGTCCGCTGCAGTAGCTGCTGCAGCAGCAGCTGCTGCAGCAGCAGCAGCTGCTGCTGCTGCTGCAGCGCCAGGAGAGCAGTTTGAGTGTTAACGTTGTAGTGAGTATAGTTGAGGCAGATAACTCCATTAGCCCCACAAAATACAGCAATACATTTGGGGCGTGTATGCAGCAGCAACAGCAGCAGCAGCAGCAGGTCTCGAGTAGCTGCTGCTGCACTCCCAAATAATAAATATTATAAAGAGCGAGTGACCCTCTCTCCGCTCTCTTTGTGTATCCCACACTCTGCGGTGTACATACACCTCAGCAGCAGTCAACTGCGTCGACCGCGGCCGTATTTGCGGTTATATGCAAACGGGTTTTCGTGTGTATACCGTCTGTCGTCTATTGGGGGGGGCCCCCCAAAGTATGCGTCAGGCCCCCTTCTGGGCCCCCCTGGGGGCCCGAAGGGTACTGGAGGTGGGGGCCCCGGGGGCCCCCCTGGTACCCACCCCCTGTGACGAACGTTGCGGGGGTAGGCACGAGGGTCTGCTGGGGGCATCGCCGAAGCCATCAGACAAGCCTCCATCTCTTCTCTCGCCCGCTTGCCTAGCTCACCCCCCTGCCCCCCTCTGCCGGGGTCATAGAAGTCGCGCCATTCATCTCTCCACTGACGGCCTGTGGTGCCTGGAGAGAAAGCAGAAAACAGACAGAGAGCAGGCTCGGATGCGGTGTATCGACAGCGTATGCCGGAATGAAACTGAAACGTTTCGGTGCGTCTCCTGCAACCGACTGCTGCTGCATTTGCTGCAGCTGCCAGCTGCCTCTGCTTGCTGCAGCTGTCTGCTGCTGTTCTTGCTGCGGCTCCTTGCTGCGTTCCGTGCTGCTTCTCTCACCTCTTCCGTATTTTCTGTCTCCGTCTACATCTCTGCCGCTGTCGGGGTCAACGCGAATGACACGGCCGTCGCACTGAGCCCCCGAGAGAATCTGCACAGCCACTTTGGCCTCTTTGGGAGAACGAAATATGACGAAGGCGAAGCCGCACGGTGCCCTGGTGAGCCTATTGAGGCCCATCACAATTCGGTCAACAGAACCCGCATGGCTGACGAGCTGTACATACACCAGAACAGACACAACACAACCAAAGTCAGAGAGGCGGGGAAAGGCGCAGAGATGAAAAAGGATGCAGGAAGCCGTTTCAAGTGATAGAATTTATCTAGCTTTCACCTAGGTAACATGCCCAAGCTGTACGTAAGCTGCACGTAGAGCACGGTACTGCGACTGGCGGCGTTCTGCTGACCTCATACAACTCTTCCTCTGTAGTGAAGTAATTCAAATTGCCGACATAGACTGTGCGAGAAGTCCGCACGGCCTCCTGCCAGTCCTCCAGAGATGTACACGTCCGCCTGTCGTAGTAGGTGGGCACCTTCTCGAGGCCCTCATACAACTCGGCCATTCTGGGTTGCGGCCGATCCGGCCGTAAAAGTTGAATTTTAAGCTCTTCTTAGCTCCGCGTTTCAAAGGAATTTTCCTCTTTTACTTTATTTTACAAAAACAATTCAGCTGATATCGAGGAAAGGGAAGGAAACCGGATATTGCAGAAACGGGTCTGCCGCAGCCCTGCATGCATCGCTGGTAGTCACACAGCAACAAAACCCGTAGAAAGAGGCACAGTCGCTCGTCTCGCTCCTTAGAAATATATATTTCAACATTTATTTCTTCGAACAAACGGGAGAAACTGAGGAAATTCGTCATATTCACGCGAACGGTTTTGCCCGCCTTCGGCGGCAAGTGGGATGGAGAGGCGGATAGTTTGGGCGTCTTGTTGATGAAAACCCCTCAATTAACAGAAAGTGACTCATTTATATATATATGGAGAAAAAGGTTTGTTTTTTTGGAGTTTGAGGGAAAAGTTTCGCCGTTCAGTTTCCCAGCATCGCGTGCACACATTAGCCATTGCAACGAAACCTCTTTTCCTAGACCCTAGAAGCGTCCTTCTTCGTTTTCCTTTCAGTATTTTTTTTAATTAATTCTCTACCGGTTCCCTTTGAGCGGGGTTCCTTGCTGCGTCAGCAGCAACAGATCTGTATCGAGAACAGACAGTAGTGGAAACCGAGAAGAAATGGGTTACCTTGGATCATCTGCACTGGCTATCGGTGCATTTG